TGGTTGGCTAAGTGTACATGGTGCTGTTTGTGAGGTTGAGAACCAGAGGGATTTAACAAATATATTGTGTTCATGTGTTATACAACCTATACAACCATGCTTTTCAGGCAGACAAATTCAGCTTTATGCCTAGCTGCAGGAGCAGGGTGGGAGTTGTGGATGTCTGTTCCATACAGACTGCAATATTCAAAAACCTTTTCTCAAGATAAGGTGGTTTTTATCACAGTATCTTAAATGTTAGAGACAGAGGGGAAGAAAAACCCCTATGGCTTATTCACCCACACCCTTGCTGAATATCTCCTCGTTGTGTGTCTGTCCATGCTGCCCATGAATCGGTCGGCTTTTGGGCTGTTGGCTGTACAGAACCTAGCGCTGTGGGATCCTGACCCAGCTCCGGCAGATCCAGAGGTGATTCTTGAACAAATCAGTCATAGTAATTGTTTTTCATGTATTCCACACACTGGGGCTGCTGCTGCTGTCCCTGGGAGGCTGGCCTGCACATCATTAGCTTGTTGCCTAGATTTTCTTCTTTTTTTAATAGCTGTTTGTTTGATTGCAGCAGTGAGTGAAGTTCCTAAGTAGTTGGGCACTTAGCGGAAGGTGGTCATTACCCTGAATTCCTTAGAGGAAAAACCTGTTACCCTTTTGGAGTTATTCTTCCATAAATAAGATTAAATAATTCTTGTTCTTTTTTGGTACTTCTATATAAAATTCAACTGCACACATGGTATCACAATTTGTTACAGGAGTTTCTGGCTAAATGATGCTTTCAGCTCTTACTTCTCGTTTTAGATCAGTCCCTTCTGTCCCCTTACTGGTTTTGCTCCTCCTCTGAACTCCCACAGTTCGTCAATATATTTAATTGTAGCCAGTGAGATGCATGAAGAGACACCCACATCTCTTCCTTTTAATCTTTCTCTGAGGAGAGCTGACTCACCAAGTTCAGTTTGTGTGTGACAATATCTCTAGTAGGAAGGATATTTTAGGTTGTATAGCCTGGCAAGCTTCCTGACTGTTTGTTTTGTGGGGTTATTTTTTGATTGTGAAAGTTGAGAAAGAGGTTATCTCCCTTGGCCAAGCAGTAGGATATTCTGCACTGGAGAACTTCTGCTGAAAGGTAGGCTTGCAAAGGCTGTACTCACTGTAAGAAATGTTGCAGTGAGCTGGATTGCAGAGGTGCACCCATTTTTCTAGGCTTGAGTGTTGCCCTCTCATTTAAGAGGATCCGTTTATGCCAGGTCACTGCTACAGGGATTTGTGCTGGTGTGATTGTATCGCTCCTCCCCTTGTAGGGGCACGCAGAGCATTCAATGTACGTAAATTGCCGGAGGAGTCGTGGGGACCAGGAAAGCAGAGGGCAAAGGCTGGTGCCTCTGAGTGCTTTCACCAGGCCTCCTGAGGTTCCTTTTCTTGTAACCATCACAGAGCTGTGTGTGTCTGATGCTAACCTTGAGGGTGTGTGCCTGCTGTGTCCTCGCTAAAGGGGAGGGCTGCAATTGCTCAGCAGCACAGCCAACCTCCCAGTTACAGGAAAATTGAAGATTTCTTATTGCCAGTGATTTTTCTTTCCTGTAGCAGTGTAGCAGCTGTCCACGCTGCCCTGTCTCTGTCATCAGGTGGAGTCATAGACCCATGAAGTAACATCATCCTCGTGTCCTGATACTGCAGCAAGAGCTGTACTTCAGCCAGTGATGATCTGGCATCTTCATGTCTCCTGCCTCATTTCAGGCAGCTGGGATGAGAGAAGCTGATCCTTTCTGTTCTCTCCCTGCTGCCCAGCTCTCCTCTTGCACTTAGCCGAAATAGAAAAGGAAGTCAGAAAATAATGTCAGATGTACAAGCACTGCTGGAGCCTTTGACTTTAGTGCTGTCTGTTCTTCTGTATCCAAAAGAAAGCTTATTGTATCACACCCATGTCAGGCGCAGGCAATGTCCAGGTACGTAATAGATGCAGATAGAGACAATATTATGATTGTCTCTATTTCCTTTTGCCTTGTATTGTCATGGGTCAGCATTCTGCTTCTCCTCCCGGGATACCAACAGAATCTGACTGTTAGACCGGACATGCTCGGGCTGGAGACTGCCAATTCATATGCTGAGCCTGATCTGGGGAAACCCTTTTGCGGGGACGACTTTTGTCTTGTTTCAAAAGAGAAGCAAGCCCAGGAAAATAGGAGCATTCATTACCAGTCAATTAATGTTCTCTGGTTCTCTGTTCCAACATTGTTTCCCTATAGAGAAAATAAGCAGCTTTGTTTCATATCTAATGATGCATCTGAATGTTGACTCATTAGCATTTCAGGGTTTAGCAGAGCAACTGAGGGCTCGATGGCTCTGATGCTTAGGTCAAGTATGAAGCAACTTTTTATGTCCTAAGTGTCTGCTGTGTCTGAAATCTAAGGCAGAGATGGTGGCGGGACTGAGGTAGTGCTGCGACTTTTGTTCCCAAGTTGCTTAATTCAGATTCACTTGGTTGCCAATGTGAAATGGGATTTTTCAGGATGGGACCTGGTGGATGAGTGTCTCTGAAGGCAAACTTTATAACCAGGTATCAAATGGGCCTTTTTGGCTGTTTCAACAGAGGACCCAAGGATTTTATATTCCAGACCACCAAACTCTTCTTCCTGGAACGAATCCTTCCATATCAGGGTTGAAGAATATTTCTAAGGCAGTGCAGAGGAGCACCCTGCCCATGTTTTAGACGTTCTCTACAGAAATAGAGGATTTTAGGTTATGCCTTCAAAGATGGGCTGCAGCTTCATGTGGGGATGTCCTGGAAAGATTAAGCGAGGTGATTTAGCTCACCTGGGATGCTGTGTTCATGTGGCTGTACTGAGATTGTTATCCAAATCAGTTTAGCTGCCTGTGCACATTGGTGCTTTCTGTCATGCAAACACATCAATCTCTGGAGCCAAGGCAGGACTTCGGGTCAAGCTTATTAACTTTTATGAACTGGGATGTCACATGGAGATTTTTATGAATGTTAGAAAGAGAGAGTTTCTTCATGTGGATCGCAACTCCCCTTCAGTAATGTCGTTCTCCTTTTGAGAAAGCTTTTGGTGCAAAAATTTACATGTATCTGAACCCAGTCAGAGTGGGAAATAATCCGGTGTCATTCCAATAAATCTTTGGAGATGTTCGGAACAGCTTTAAAATGAACATTTGGAACATGGAAATGTTGGTTACATTTTCCTGTTTGTGCTTGATCTCTTTCCTAACTTCAGGATGTGCAACCACAAAGAGCTCATTCAGTTGAGCGTCCTTACTTGTTTGTGCTCTTCTTTTATTTATTAATTAAATTCCATTAACTCCAGCCAAGAATCGTATTTCTTTCCTCTAGGCCTGCAGAGCAGCAGAGGTGCTTTGGAGCACCGAACCATGCACAATACCATTTGACTTGTCTGAAAAGACTTTAGAGTTTTGTAAGTCCATGGCTTCATGATGAGTGTGGTAATAAGGTTTAAGTGCCACATATGTTTTGAACGGTCGCTTGGCTCTTGCAGCAGCTGCGTTTTAAACTACCCTCCCTTGAATCTCGTGAGTTCAGGAAGTACCTTGGTAGCTTAGGTAGTGCAACAAGATATGATCCTACAGTGAGTCCTCCCTGGCTGCTGCCTTTTGCTTATCAGGGTCCCCTGAATGTCAGCAGCGGGCACAGAGATTTGCCTCTGCAAGTGTACTCCATGGACCAATTTACACAAAGGGTTTACAACTCTCCTTTTGTGAGGAGGAAAATGCGAGCAAACCTTCTAGGGCTGCCAGAGTAGGAGGAATGAGGTGCGCTGTGGAAGTGAGGTTTCAGAGGAGATATCTGACAGCTGTTTTTATCTGCCTGTGGAAAGGTAAAAGGATATGTTTTAATGATGATAAAAATGACACTTTGTAGTGTAGCATGTGTTTATTTCGTTATGCTTTCCTCTGTGATGAAAGTACAGAAATGTGGGCTGTTTTTTTTTTCCTGTCCTCCTTTCTCTGCTCCATACTATCTGGCTAAGCAGTATTTTATTTTCTGTATCTATTTCCATTGTATTAAATTTTTGAGGAGAGCATCTTAAATGCCAGCCCTTAGATATATAGCTACAGTGTGTTGTTTCTTCCCTTACAAGAAAGAAAAATAATCACATCTAGTCATCTTGGCTGGAAAATTACGTTAAAGCTGGAATCTTGTCTACTGTAAATTTGGTCCTCGAACAGAGTTAAGTAGAATACATGGGAAAGATGCAGTAATAACACAAAAAGATGCTGATAGCCTCACTGTTCTGCAATCAGTACAATAAGCGAGGTCCTGGTACCCAAGGGAGGATCCTTCAGGAGCCTGAAATAGCGCAGTCAGGAGAGCATCAGTCTCTCAGTTTGAGGATACAGGATTTGAATTCCTGATTAGGCACAGGCTGTGGTGTTTATTACTAACAAGAACAACTCAATGTATAATAATAAATTTCAATTCATAATCCCCAGGAGAAATGCTAAGGTAGCTAACAAATCAGCTGGCACTCTAAAAACAAGTCTTAATGCTGAATGACTTATATTAAACATCTGATGTTCCAGCTCTTGCTGCTACAGAACTCCAAGGGAATACAAAAATAATTTCCTGTGTAGAAAGTGGGAGGGTTTAGCCTTTAAGGAGTTTAATGTTATGGCCAAGGCGTATGGTTCAGGCAGAGGGAAACTGAGTGAGCTCAAATATTTTACCTTGTACTCATTTAGGGTATGGAAATAGCTTGTTTCTGAGTACTTGAGATTTGGCACCTGTTTTTCTGGAAGGCAGTGATTTTTGCCGGATATTTGGCTGTCTCAACTTGGATACACCCTTTTTCTTGAACAGACGTACCGTGTGTGAACTTCTTTCTCCTTTTTTATAGTTGGCAATGGATGTCAAATGCTTTTCTCTAGGAAATGCCTGACCTTTTATACTTTTTCTTTTGCTTGATTGGTAATATGTTCTCTTTC